TTTTTTTTACTTTTCAAAGAGAAGAGTGTTGGGGCGGGGGGGGAGGGTTGGGAGGGGAGAAAAGTGCAACAGTGAATGAATGGAAACTCTAAGTCTCTGTAAATTTTCATTGAAATAATAAAAAAAAATTTTTTAAAAAGATATTGAGAGAAGACGCCGAAGGAGTTGTGTGCTGACACTGTGGCTGTGATGATCATGGATTTGACCATGGTGGAGATTGTAGATGGCACGGGAACAGACAAGGTTCTGCTCTGTTGACATAGAGTCGCTATGGCACCTGACGACAATGACTGAACTGAGACGATACATTTTAAAGCCACACTTGTGTGGGTTTTGGTGGCTGTTAGGGCGATACTTGATAGCTAAGACCAGCTCCCATTTAGAGCTCCTGTCGGGAACGAGAAACTGAATGGATGCATGCACGGCCAAGGCTGCAGGACGGCCTGCAGCTGTCACCTGTGTGAGGTGCCTGGACAAGGGAGAGTTAGGGCTAATGTCCAGCTAGTTTCTCCCACTGTCCCTCTACCTGCGACTGTTCTGTGTTCAGTCAGAGGGTCAGAGCCCCAGGTCCCTGTGCTCAGCACGGTCCTCAATCCAATTCCAATGTAATCACAGCCACAGGTCACAGCAGACCCTGTGTCAGGACACCCTGTGTAGGGTCACAAGACCATCCTAACTGGGCAGGCGATTTCCTGCTTTTCAGTCCAAGCCTCAGATGGACAGGCTAGTTGGTTATCCCCCTTGACCTTAGCCCCCCCTCCCCGTGAAACTAAAACCCACTCCTGCGGGTCTAGTCGGACTTAAGCCGACCCTCCGTCCAGTCGCCAAGGCTGTAAATCTTTACAGGAGGAGATTGCCCCACTTTCTCCCTTGGAATTGCTGGTGGATTTGAACCACTGACCATTAGGTTAGCAGGCCAACACATAGTGCGTTGCGCCACTGGGGCTTCTGCACAGTCAGAACCCTTTAATAATAATAATAATAATAATAATAATAATAATAATAATAATAAAAATAAATGTTGCAAGGCGGGGTCAGTCCTTGGAGAGGGACATCATGCTCGGAAGGGTGGAGGGACAGTGTGGGAGAGGAAGACCCTCGAAGAGATGGATTGATTCAGTGACTGGGATAATGGGGGTAAGTGTGTCAGAGACAATAAGATTGACAAGGGACAGAGCAGGGTTTAGGGCTGTTGTACATAGGGTCGCTATGAGTTGCAGGTGATTGGACAGCACATAACACCACCAACAATAATAAAGGAACAATGTTAAATGTATTAATAATAAAAAAAAGTGAGAGAAAAACAAGATCACTGTCGGCTGTGTAAATGACTTACTGAGATTTTTTTGATAACTCTTTGCTACGCACTTCCTGATTGGAAAGGTGGAGGTTCGGTGAAAGAGAGAAAGGCCCTCAATGGAGTGGATTGGCACGGTGACTGCAGCACTGAGGACGGCACGGGCTAGCACAGGATTCAGATCTGTTGTTCATAGGGTCGCTATGAGTTGTACTTGACAGCACGGAACGACAGTCACAAGCTGCTGTCAGGCCAGGAGCTATGTGAGCGGCATTTCAGGGACAAAGTTTCAGTGGAGCTTCCAGACTTAACACAGACTGGCCATCAGCTTCTGAAACAACAGGCCTTCGGAAACCCTGTGACCAGTGGAGAAACGCGGCTGGGTATAGCAGTAGCGGCAGTGCCCTGAGACTGGGACGGTGGGCTGCAGGGTGTCTGAGAGAATGAGGGCAGCACAGAGGTGGGGTTCAGACCCCTTGTTCACAGCGTTGCTGTGATTCGAAGTCGACCCAACAGCACTTAACAACTTTCCTAATCTATACTTTTTTTTTAAATTTATTTTTTTTTTTTAATTTCTTGTGCATGTACCGTCAAATCAGATCTGACTGGTACAGGAGGAGATTGTCCCTCCTTCCCTGGCAGAGCATCTGGTGGATTCGAACCGTTCGCCTCTGGGATTGTAGTTGCAGCTCCTTACCACTAGGCCACCAGAGCTCCCCCTAATCTATACTTTGATGACTGCGTCACCAGGGCTCCTTAGCGGATCATTTTGCAGGTCTGACACCACTGCCGCCCTGTCCCTCGGGCCCTGGACTCATTCAGCTCTTTCTCCACGTCTGCCCTCAAACCTGATTGGCTGGGTCCACCTTTCTGATGCCGGTACCCTCCTCTCTTGCCCCTTTGCCCTGCGACCCTTGACTCGGTTAAAGCAAGAGGCTGGCACTTAGAAAATAAGCTCTAGCTGGTGATTTATTGCCTGGTCAGGAGGGTGTCTTCCAGCCCAGGAATAGGCAGGGCTCAAGGTGGCCTTTGAGGGTCTAGTCACAGCTGGGAGCAGCCGGGGCCTGGGGCGGGGTGAGGTGACGGGTCAGGAAACGCACAGCTGAGCGGATGCCCTCGATGGTCCGCCTCTCAAAGGCCTCCAGCATGCTGGTGACAGAGCGCAGGGCCAAGCCTGTGCCGGCCGACAGCCCCGACGAGAGCACCAAGGTGGCACTGTCCAGGAGGCTGGAGGCCGGGCAGAGGCTGGGTCCGGTGCCCTGAAGCAGGTCCGTCACGCAGCCGTGGCCGGTGGCCAGGATGTCTGTGGCCATGTCCACAGTGGCATCAGACCAGACTAGGATGTCGCCCAGGGAGCCGATGGAGCCCTCGCCCCCGCCCAGAAGGCTGGTCATGGAGTGCATGTAGCTGGCGTCCTGGTTGGCCATGTACAGGCTGCTGTCCAGGGGCCTCCACTCCGGGTGTGTAGTGGGTGAGGGTGACGATGGGAGGGACAAAGAGGACGGCTGATCTGAGATGTCCACCAGCTTGTCCTCCAGAGCCCCCAGTGACGCCTGAGTGTCCTCTGTGTTGCTGGAAGCTTGAGTGTCTTCTCCTGGGAGCTGTGCCTCAACAGTTGGGGGAGGCCTCTCACTGGGGTCCCCCGGACTTGATGGAGTCTTTTCCTTACCCAGGGGAGGTCCCTCACTGGGGTCCTCTGAACTTGATGGCATCTCTTCTTTATTCAGGGGACACCCCTCACTGGAGTCCCCCTGACCTGGTGGGGTCTCTTCTGTATTCAGGAGGTGCTGTGGTAAAATCAGCTGACTGTGGCTTGTCATCTTATCTTCAACCAGCTTGACCAGTGGGGGGTTGGGGAGGCTTCTGGAAGCCTGCAGGGAGTCTGGGCTTTGCGAGAGCAGAGTTGTGGCCTCTGTGGGCTTCTTGCTGTCCTCTGGGACGCCCTCTGACAACTTCATAGCCTCCTCACTGGCTGGCTGGCTCACAGGCTGCTGGGCTGCTGGCTTCTCTGTGCCACCTATCTGGCCTTGGGACCTTCCTGCTGGGCTGTCTGTAGACCGGCTGTCTCCCTCACTGCCCACGGTGATCCCAGGAGTGCCATGTTGGGGAGTGGTGGCTCCAGCCTCTTCTGAGGGCTGGGTGGTCATCTATGCCCTCTGCCACTTTGGTGGGTAAGGAGTGGCCATGGCCCTGCCAGGAGGAGCCGCCCAGGCACTGAGGTCACAGGGGCGTGGGGGCAGCTGGTGATGTCACAGGCACCAGCAGGGCAGGCACTGAGTGTCCTGGGGGCTTCCTGTGACCACTGACAGTTGACAGTCAGAAAGGCAGCAGGTGTCTTGGCAAAGGTGGAGGTGTGTGAGGTGCAGGAAAGGGTCATCCGGCTCCACGTTGGCAGCAAGGACCTTTGAGAGTGGGGTCCTGCTCCTAGTGTCTAATGAACACAGGATGCTGCCACCCCCTCTCTGTCCATGATGATGCGGGCTCACTTCCGGCCAGTCTTTCTGCAGAGGGCTGCCTTCACTGTGTAGAAAAAGCAGCTCCAAAACAACTATGAGATATCATCTCACCCCAGCCAGAAAAACAAAATTTAACAGAACAGCAAACAACAAATGCTGGCGAGGTTGTGGAGAAACCGGAACCCTTATTCACTGTTGGTGGGAGTGTAAAATGGTGCAAGCCTCGTGAAAAGCTGTATGGCACTTTCTCAAAAAGTTGCAAATAGAAACACAATTCATTTGACCCAGCAATTCCACTACTGGGAATTTACCCTAAAGAAACCATAACCGCCACCCAAGCAGATATATGCACACCCATGTTTATTGCAGCTTTGTTCACAATAGCAAGGAGTTGGAAACAACCCAAGTGGCCATCAACACACAAATGGATAGAGAAGCTGTGGTATATTCACACAATGGAATACTATGCAGCATTGAAAAACAAGGAACTCATGAAATATTATGCAAAATGGTGACCCTGGAGGATATTATTCTGAGTGAAATATCTCAGTCACCAAAGGACAAATATTGCATAGGGCCACTGTTGTAAAATGGGACTGACATCAGAGTTTAAGGAAGACAGAAACGGAGGGGAGGAATGATGTACATTGCACTGGAACAGATGAGGGAGAGAACTGTTTAAAAGGAATATGTGATTAGGTATTATTGTCATGACAGGAGTCCAGAACGAAGGCTACACAGCGGAGTGGACTTGCGGGGAGGGATTGCATAACAATGAAAGAATTTTTCTTTTATTTTTCAAAGAGAAGAGTGAACTGGGAGAAGGGGATGGGAAGGGGGAAAAATGCAACAATGAATGAAAGGAAACCCTAAGTCTCTGTAAACTTCCATTGAAATTAATTAAGGAAAGAAAGAAACAGCTCTTGGCTCTGGCCATCTTTGGCTTGAGGATAGAGATATGTGTACCTTGCACATAAGATCCAGCAAGGAGGGCCTTTGTAGCCTGGGTGTCCTTGAAAGGGGCACCACTGAATGGTTCCTGTTAGCTGTCGACTGGGGGAGGCCATGCAGCAAGTGACAAGTACACCTTCCTATCTGAGACCTTCTCCTGAGTCCAGGAGTCCTGGTGATATATGCAGTGAGGAGAAAGACACACATATCTAATCCACCAGCCCCTCTGAGCAGGAAGACAGGCAGTTCACGCCAGAAAATTCAGTTTCTGACACTGGATGAGGGGTGAGGTCACCGATGACTGGGGCTTAGCTTGGGGTTTGCTGACTCCAGGGTTTTCTCACCAGCTGTCCCCCTTGGTCTGCCCTCCATTCTGGCTTTTCTGAACCACCCCTCCCCCTCCCCACCCAGCCCCCTGCCCATCACACTTCATCTTCCCTGAAGGAGCCTAGGAGGCACAGCACATTCCACACTGGACCCACCACTAAGAGAAGTCAGTGGTTCGAATCCACCAGTCTCTCTGTGGGAGAAAAATGGGCCATTTCTTCCTGTAAAGATTTACAGCCCGGAAACTTGGTGAGGATTCTGTGCATCAGAACGGACCTGGCAGCTGTGGACTGGTTTGGTTTAGGCCTTTTTGCAGAAGTTTCTAGATATTAGGAGCTACCAGACTGGAGGGAAGAGTGACCTGGGGTCAGAGAAAGGCCAAGGGGATAGGTGGGGTGGCAGTGGGGACCCTCTAGAGCCATTTTATAGAAAACTGTCTCTTTCATGAAGATGAATAATTGGATCCCAAGGCAGAGTCTTAGTTGATGTGGGATTTCCCCCTTTTTTAAAAATCATACTTTTAGTGAAACTTTACAGAAGAGATTTTTTTTAACAAATTATTTTTTCTTATTTTATTTTATTATATTTCGTGTGTACCAGCAAATCGGATCTGACACTAGTACAGGAGGAGATTTGCCCTCCTTCTCCAACAGAGTATCTGGTGGATTTGAATCAAGAAGATTTTTTTTTAATTAAAATCCATTTATATAATGTTTACTCACACAGAAAATGTACAGCGTCAACATTCAGGCAATCAACTCCACTCCATCCTCAGGACTTTGAGAGACAGAAATCTCTGCCTTCCTCCCAATATAATACTTTCATACATACCTCTGAAAACGATGCATTTCATTACATCACCTCTCTTAAGACAGAATCCCTCTGAATACCTAAGCCATCCCTTCTTTTATAGAGAATGAAGAAATATCAGCAGAGCCCTGCTCCGAGATGCAGTGTCTCGTGACAGATGTAGTGCAAGAGATACAGACAGATACAGACAGATAAAGACTAGCTCCGCAGTGTGGCCAACCGAGACTGCATGGCCTCCAGGGCCTCCTCCTCCTCCTCCCCTTCATCCTCAGCAGTCATGGCTCCTGGAGGCTAAGGGTCTGGAAGGGCGTCGGTCACTTTACTGGGTGCTTTGCCCAAGGCCCCTGCTGTAATTTCAAACAGAATCTTGTCAATTTCCATTTCTGCCTCCTCTTCCATTTTTCCTGATCGTCCATGCCTTCAAAGGTGTCTTCCAGCATCTCTTCTATGATTCCAGCCTTCATCATCTCCTGTGTGGTGGCCTGGATTTCAGGGATCCTCCCGAGACTCTGCATGGCTTTCATCACCTCTGTGCTCTTCTGCAGGGAGCCAGCCACTCGGAGAACGGCCAGCTGGTTCCGTGTGCCCATGAGCACGGAGTTCATGTGGGCTTTGGACGCGTAGAGCTTGCTCACTGCCTCCGCGACCGGATCGTCTCCTTGGCCAGCACCACGCAGACGTCCTTCTGGCCTTTCTTGGCAGCATCCTTCACGGAGCGTTTCACTTTTTCTTCTTCCCGCTGGATATCTCTTACTTGTCTGTCAACTACTCTCATTTCCTTTATCTTCAATGACCATTCATTGACCAAATCTTTGGGTGGCTTCTCCTGGGTTTTTCCAAACAGCTCCATGACTAACTGAGTTGGGCTTACCCCTTCCTGCTTGCCGTCCCTTCCCGAGAAAAGATTGTTTTAATTCATTCATTGATACACATTTCCCCCTCCCCCAATTCACTTTATAATGCATGTGCTGCTTCAAAATGTCAGTTGGCACACACACACTGTGTTATCACCCATTCCCTTTAGGCAGTCCCTCCCTTCTCCCATGCCAGTGTACTGTATCCTGGTGTACTGTTCATTATCTAGCCATTCTTTTCCCGCTATCCCTGCCCCGTGCCCATCCTACTTTCATAAGTGTTCTTACACAGTATTTGACCTTTTGTGACTGGAATATTTCACTCAGCATAATGTCTTCCAGATTCATCTATGTTGTGGAGTGTTTTACAAGTTCATTCTTTTTCAGTGCTGCATAGTATTTCATCGTGTGAATGTACCACAGTTTTATATTCACTCATTTGTTGACAGGCATTTGGCCAACTTCCACTCTTTGGAATTGTGAATAATGCTGCCGTAAGCATAGAGACATGCATCTGTCGGCATCACAGCTCTGGTTTCTTTATGGTATATTTCCACTTGTTGGATAGCAGGGTCAAATGCTATTTCTATTTCCAACTTTCTGAGAAACTACCAGACTGCCTTCCACAGTGGTTGTACAGAGGCAGAGTTCCGTCCAGGATACATGGTGATGTCAAGCATTTACAATGATGTCAGCCCTGAAACTTGAGTGCACATGAACTGTCCTAAGGTTGATAAGTTCTCAGTATTGCAAACAGTTGGAATCAGACCACAGTTCCTTCCTGGCCACCAGCTTTGGTTTGTTGTTGTTGTTACGAGCCATCAGGTCAATGACCACTCGCAGCAGCCCTAGGAACCACAGGTCAGAACCATGCCCAGTCCTGTGCCGTCATCATCTCTGCCGTGCTCAAGGCCATTGCTACAGTCACTGTGTCTGCCCATCTCATGGTCCTTCATCCTCTTTTCATTCCAGCCTACCTTTCCCAGCATGAGTCTTTTCCCAAGGTCTGTTCCTTCCTGAATTTTCCACACTTTTTGCTGTTGTTGTTAGGTGACACCAGTCAGGTCTGACGTGTACCAACTCCTGTACAAAGAAGCCCTGCCCTGTCCAACCTCGCCTCTCACAATCTGCTGTGATTAAACCCGTCATCATTGCTCTGGGCCAATCCTTAGTATATCTCTCTCTCTCTTTCTCTCATTGTTGTTAAGTTGGAAATGATTCATAGTTGACCCTACAACACAGCTTTTTAAATTTTTTTATTTTTTTTATTTTATTATTGTGTGTGTGTATATACACACACACAATAATAAAATTGTGTAAATTAGATCTGACTGGTACAGGAGATTGCCCCTCCTTCTCCAGCAGAGCATCTGGTGGATTTGAACTGCACACCTCTGGGATTGCAGTGCAGCTTCTTGCCACTAGGCCACCAGAACTCCCCCCCCCTTTTTTTGAGTCTGTATATCTTACAGGAGGAGGTTGCCCATCTTTCTCCTTTGGTGGATTCAGACCTTGAGAAAGGCATCACCTTGGGGTCAGCAGGGAAATGTCCAGAGATAGGCTGTTATGAGGTGCCCATGTGTTCACCAGTCTCAGAGCAACCCTGTGAACAATGGCTCTGACCCTGCCCAGTCCTGCACCAACCTCATCGTCTCTGACATACTATGTCCATCGTTACAGTCAGGTGTCAGTCTATCTTACTGAAGGTCTTTCTTTCGCGGACCCTCCACCTTTCCAAGCATGATGTCT